TATATCCTTTAATTGAAACCTGATTATAATTGAATTTATACTAAGAGTTTCAGCTAAATTAGTTTTGAAAAAAAAACAAAATTTGGCTCTTTATTATTTCAACTTAGGGAGGAATGGTAACTTTGAAATAAGGGGTTAGGATGGTCAAAATTACATGAAATTTTGTCAATGTTATCTTTTATGTTTATAAAGGGTTTGATTAAAATTTAAAGTTATTTTGAATTGATTTGCTTAGTGATCGATCTTATCCTAATTTGATTGTGTTCCTAGCTTTGTGTATGTGGATTCCTACTTACGACAAAGGGACTTAGGAGTGTTTATTTGATCTAAAATTTAGATAGTAGCTTCCTTGGGGTTAATTCTAGAGTTGTATCAAAATTTCATGTTATTTTGATAAGACTTGATATGGTTTTTTGCTTTTGCATTATTTTAGGATTGTTGGGTTGTGGAGGTTTTGTGTGTGAATAATTCAACAATGTGTGTTATAATTTATGTTGACTTTATTCGTGTTTGTTCGTTAGAGAATCGGGTAAGAGAGTCTCTTTTATAATTCTTTACTTAGGTGTTGATGTATCGTGGAGTTGCGGTGTTAGTTTATAGCGTGGTTGCATTTATAAACATTATAAAATAAAACTAAAAGAAGTGCAATTGTAACTATTCATTCACTCGTAGCTCGTAGACTCATTATCCCTATTCATCAATTTTTTAGTCCCTTTGCTTTTCTTTTTTTGTTCTTTTTTCAAAAGGGTTGTCTATGCTGCCCAAAACCTCTCTAAGATAATCCTTAAATAGGCATTGATGAGATGGAGATTATTTTTACATATTTCTAAAGCCTGACGAGTAAGAAAGAAATAAAAAGTTAGCCCATTAATGTTGCTCGGATTTGATCTAATAACCAATACATATGCCTTTCTATATGGATAATGTAATAATTAAACATTTTTATTTTTATTTTTTTACTTTCATCTTTGAAAATAAGATTTTTGTTTTTAATTTTAATTAATTATGAAAATAATGTTGAATAACATTAATTGTCAATAACTAATCACGCAACCTATCTCTAAAGGAATTTTTTATTTTGTTTTATTTTCAATGAGAGGCTTATTGAGTTTTGGTCATGCAATGAAAATAGTTCTCTTCTATTATATATTAGTAATAAAACAAAGTTGTAATTACTGAAACTCGAATATGTTTTATGATAAAAAACAACTACATATATAATTGGTAGTCTATATCTACTATATAGAAAATTTATTTTTAAAAATTACATGATGTGAGATGCGTATCCTTAAAATCATAGAAAAAATAATAATTTAAATTAACGTATAAATTGCTAAAAATTGTTAAACCAAAGAAGGAAAAAAAAAAACCAATAACTAATCTTTTTACCTCTTTTAAAGGAAAGTACTAATGGCGACACCCATGATTTAATGGCTAGATTTCTCAAGTAAATACAACTTTTTACTCTTTTTGCCCATGTGAATGGATTTTGGTCTCCAATACCTTGGAGCAATTCTACATGATTTTAGTCAATTTTACTAGTATTATTATTATAAAAAAACTAAAAGAAATGTGAGTGTACGTGTTCATTCACTATAACTCTAGACTTATTGTCCTTATTCATTAATTTTTTTTGTTGCTTATAGGTCCTTCTTTCTTTAACAAACAAATAATTTGGTCCTTTTGGCTACTTTTTTTTTTTTTTTTTGGCATGTCTTACGAGAAACACGACTCAAAGCATGGTTGGAAAAATTCTCCAAAGCCCATTTTTATTTTTAAAGTAAATTTTTTTAATTTTTTTGTATAGGCTTACTTGTTGGGTTGATCTAAAGGACCCTAAAGCCCATTAAGTGACTTATTTCAATCTAAGCTCGAACCACTACAACATGAAGTGAGGATTTCAGCCCTTTTATTCAAATCGCAAGCCAATTATCCATATGTTTGGTTTTGGTTTAGATGTTGGTTGCAATTATAGCCATAAATTTGGTTATGATTTGTGATTGCTATCAAAGAAAAAAGTATTTGACTAACATACATGTTGAGAGTGGATTTTCATATGAAATAAGATAAAAACGATATTAGATATTATACATTTTATGTAGTGAAAAAATAACTTTAATATTCAAGACATACATAGTTATGTAGTCTACCATATTGAATTAAATGAATATAATTAAAAATCTTTCAATTTCTTTTCAAATAAACATGGCAAATTAAAAGTGAATTTGATACTTAAATTTAGCGAGTGTATTTTTTATTTATGGATATTTACGGATAATATGATATTTTTGAGTTAGTTTTTACATCAATAAAACTAAATTTATCATTTTCTCGAACTAAATCAATGTTAAAATAAGTTTAGTTTTTGATCAATTGATAGAATATCTTTTAGACTAAACTAATTCAAATTTAATACCACTAAAAGATAATTTAGTGGTTTATTTATAATTTATCAATTTAACGTGTGATTTATTTACCTTTTTCATAATAATTTTACTTTGAACTAAAAAACTATATATATACACACAATGCAGAAGCTACTTATTACACTTATTACGAAAATAACCTCCAAAAAATCCACATGATATCTATATAATAATAGCCAAATTGATGTATATTATGTTGGCTACAATTTTAGTGAGATGTAATATCTTTGACACTTAACATGTATTATGTTGCCTGAGATTTTTTTTTCATGTCAAATTTTTAATATTTATTGGATTACATTGATAATAATACAATTAATCATTATGCTATTAAATAATTTTAATTATTATTGTAATAATCATTACAATTGTTGCTAGCTATTACATGGTTGTTATAGGTTGTTGTGAATCTATTAAAAATATTAATTGTAGCTTAATAGTTAATTTGTTCTTAATTTATTATATTCTTATATACGCATGAAAATTCTTAAGCAACTGATAAGAGAAAAGAAATAAAATAATGATTGTTTCTCTTAAAAAATAATGTTTTCCTAAAAAAATTTTAAACACAATTTTATTTAGCTATTAAAAGGAAAAGTTAAAGTAATATTGATACAATTAATCACTATGATATTATATAATTTAAATTTTTTAGTACTTATTACAATTATCTTTATTGATATTGGATTTGTAAAGACAACCCTAATATGTAGAAGACAAACACAAATAACCTTCGAGATGAATTTCATCGGTACTATTTCAACAAGAAACACTCCTCAAACACCCTTAAATCAATCCATAAATTACCACACAAAACAAATCTAATCGACCCAATAAATGAACATAGACAAACACAACCAACTAATTTATTTTTATACAATTGATTATTTACTTAAATTTATTTCTTAATATATATTATTATAATTTATATGATTGATTATTTTTATGATTTTTATATGAAAATATCATTGTTACTTATATAAATTCTAATGAGACAGAAAGAGCTAAAAGTGTATTTTAAATAATTTAAATTTATTTTTTAAAATAATAATCAATTAAAAAATAATTTGACTTAGTTTTATTATTATAATTTATATAATAAATTACTTTTATATTTTAAATGGGTGTTTTACACACACACACACATATATATATATATATATATATATATATAGAGAGAGAGAGAGAGAGAGAGAGAGAGAGAGAGCTAAAAGTATGTTTTAGATAGTTTGACTCAATTTTTTTTAAAATAATAATAAATTCAAAAAATTCACAAGTTTTATTTTATATATATATATTTATTCAGAATTTATCGTAACCAATTTTGTTGTAGTTTTTATTTTAATTTGTTGATTTCAATATATTTCTATAATTTAAGTTATTTTTTATAAAAATTTATAATATATATAATTAGTTTTGTTAGAAGTTAACTATATATAGATTCAATTTATATTAATCATCAAAAATAAAATTTTTTATTCGCATTATATCAATACGAATTATTAACTCTATGTATATAATGATTGTCTATCCGCAAAGTAACACGGATATTCAATTAGTATTATACCAAACATTTTGCTTGGTACCATTAATAAAAAAAAAAACCCAAGATTTTCTGAGTCCCACGCAACACATTGTACGATATGGTGTTGAACTATCATTTCATTGCATATCATATTTTCGATGTTGATGATGAGCTGCCGAACCAAACTAATCCACCTACTCTAAATAATTAATTTATTTAGCTTTCGTGCATCGATTTGCACACTTAAAAAAGAAAACGTGCTTAGTATAAAAAACATCTACCATCCGTGAAATTGTTTAGTCGAAGGACCATTACGAGCCATAATAAAAAAATAAAAATTGTTTATCTATATCAGCTGAGCACAGTTTGTTACGATAAAAAAAAAACTTTAATTATTAAAAATACGTATGCGTTTTGCATATGGCCATACTCCAACCATAACGCAAGGCAAGTATCGAATTATCTGTACCATAAGAGATAACACCACTTGGACGGTATATCTTGAATAGTTAATAGCCTTTTAACATAATTCGTAAATGCCCAATGCCTTTACCAATCTAATTGGGTTTGGCTCGCAGCGAAACGTAGGTTACAATCTAGTACTCTCAAGTTTAAATATAAAGAAAAAACAAAAAACACAAATTTTCATAATTATAATACCGAACCCTTAAGATTAATAATTTAATAATTGAATCAACGATGAAGTGACTTGATAGCTTGGAATGGTCTGTTTGTTATATTTTCACACACGATGTTGAAGGATAAAAAAAATTTTCTCCGTAGAAAGACAAAAATAAGTATCATCAACTCTCTCTCTCTCTCTCTCTGGTCATCTAAATAATTAATACACTTAGTCGTAATAAGTTTTATAAACCAAATGTGTTGAGTCTTTAGAACGCATGGACTCTGTATGCCAATAAAATGTTGGCAAACTTGTCGGTTACAGAGATCCTTCAAGACAACTGCGGGCAGAATTACAACATTATATAAGTGCTTCATGCAATCCACATTAAAGACCCAGTAAAAGATCGAAAACAAGAGATCGAAGAATGGAGGAATATGGTAGGCAACCACTTCTCTCCTCACAAAACGATAACCAAAATCAAGACCAGCACTTAAGATTTCTACCCAGACCAACAACAAACTCCTCCATCGCCTCCTCCTTCACCCCTGATCCTGATGACATCCCTCTAATCAACAGTGTCCGTGATTTCTCTAGAGAATTTTACAGAGAGTCCAGTAAGCTATGGTATCTTGCCGCCCCTGCCATCTTCACCACCTTGTGCCAATACTCCCTTGGTGCTATCACTCAGCTTCTTGCTGGACATGTTGGCACGCTGGATCTAGCTGCTGTCTCTGTCGAGAACTCTGTCATAGCTGGATTCTCTTTCGGAGTCATGGTATACCTATACTTGTAATAACAATCAAGCATGCAATTTTAACCTCCTTTTTTTCTTTTTTTTTCCTTCCTTCTGTAACAACAGCTTTTGATCGATGAGCAAGATTTGACCTTTGAATCTGCAGCTTGGCATGGGGAGTGCCCTGGAAACCCTTTGTGGACAAGCGTATGGAGCAGGACAGCTTGAGATGCTAGGAATCTATATGCAAAGATCATGGGTCATTCTTAATGGCGCAGCTGTCATACTTACCCTTTTATATGTCTTTGCTGGCCCACTTTTGAAGCTTATTGGTCAGACGGCAGAGATATCACAGGCGGCCGGGATATTCTCGCTGTGGATGATACCACAACTATTTGCTTATGCAATGAACTTTCCAATTGCCAAGTTTTTGCAAGCTCAAAGCAAGATGATGGCTATGGCTGTGGTAGCAGCAGTGGCCTTAGTTTTCCATGCTGTTTTCAGTTGGCTATTAATGTTGAAATTAGGTTGGGGTCTAGTGGGTGCGGCCGTGGTTCTTAACGCTTCATGGTGGTTCATAGTGATTGCTCAACTGTTGTATATATTTAGTGGAACTTGTGGAGAAGCATGGACTGGATTTTCTTGGAAAGCTTTTCAAAATCTCTGGGGATTTGTTAAGTTATCTCTGGCATCAGCAGTTATGCTTTGGTGAGGATCCCGACACAGCATTAACTGGCTGTCACCTTAATGCTTAATTATGATCCAACTTATTACATCTTTAAATGATATTTTTGTGAAATAATTTAATGCAGCTTGGAAGTATGGTATTTCACGGCATTAATATTGTTCGCTGGATATCTAAAGAATGCTGAAGTTGCTGTGGATGCCTTGTCAATAAGGTCACCTTTTTCTCCTACTACTATTAATTAATACTACTATTACTCATAGCATACTTTTTGCGTGCAACTTGAAGTTTAGTCGACTTGCATTAGCAACCCCCATCTGACGAGCTTGTTTTTGGGCTTAAAAAAGTTAGGAGTAGATACGAACAGTAAGCTCTGCCTCATTGCATTTTTGTCCTTATTATTTGCCTGCAAACAGATTGCCGGCTTTATAATATATACGTTGTACTAGATAAAATAATATTTTAAATTTTTTTAAAAAATAAATAAATATTAAATATCATTTAAAATTTATTTTTTTATTTTTTGAGATGTAAAATCTCTAATTAAATTTTTGTATTCAAGTTTACAAAGTAAATCTTTTTCAATTGATAATATAGCCAAATTACTTAATCTTTATTGTGACATAGTTGAACATAAATAAGATTTTATTAATTTTAATTTTGAAAAACTTCTTTCAGTCGAAGCTACGAGTAACATGGATAGTTAATAGTATTCTATATGCTATCCATGCATTTGGAAAAGAATTTACTTTTTTTATAAAATTTAGTACGGCAAGTGGTGTTTTCATTTTCATAGTTATAATTCTTTTAAAACTTTTAATTCTGAAAATAAATCTAAACCATCAATATCGAAAGCATATCGTGCTTTAGAAAGTTTTCAAGATTTAAATAATTTTTTTTCAAAATATCATCATCGAGTGATTTTAATTTTTCTACACTATAAAGAAAACCAAAATTATCTTCATATATTTTAAATTGTTCAAACCTATTTTGAAGAGAGGAAATCGCATGATCAACTAAATATGTAAAATAATTAATTCTAAAAGATTCTTCAATAGATAATTTCATATCTTCATTTTCAATCTCATCAAATTGTTTCTTCTTATTGTACGCTTTTCACAAAATTTTGATTCTATATTCATTTGCTCTACAATTTCCTTAGCCAAGATCATAGAAGATGTAAACCCATTTTCTCTATAGCTTTTAAAAAAAGAAATAAGACCTTTCAAGTGGTCTATTGCAAGAGCAATATCCATATCTTTAGATTGTAAATATTTACTAACCGTATTAACGACAAACAACATATCATACCAAATAATCTTGCCTAATAGAAATTCAAAATTTTCAATCTCATATGTTGCTAAAGAAATAGCTTCACTTTTTGTTTTAGGATCCTCACTAGTTTCTACTAATTGATATAAAGCATATCTTATTTGTTGAGCTTGAAATCTAATTGCTTTAACGCTTTCAATACGACTTTCCCAACGTGTTTGTGATAATGGCTTAAGTGTCAAATTAGAAACATGATCTTGCAAAATTTTTCATCTTTTTGTAGAAAAAGAAAATAATGAATATATACGTTGTGTCACTCCAAAAAATGTCATAGCACTAGCACATGAATTAGCCATATCACAAAGAACTAAATTAAGATTGTGACGACCACATGGTGTATAAAATGCTCTAGAATTTATATTTAATAATCTTTTTTGTACACCTTGATGTTTACCTTTCATATTAGACCCATTATTATATCCTTACCCTCTCACATCATTTACGTCAAGTTCAAGAGTTTTTATTTTACTTGTAAGTTCATTAAAAAGACTTTCACCAGAGGTATCATCCATTTTTAAAAAATCTATAAAATACTCTTCTATTTTTATTGAAATTGTTGAAATATCTACACATCTTAATATAAGAAACATTTGTTCTTGATGACTTGCATCCGGAGTACAATCAAGTATAACTGAAAAATATTTTGATTCTTTGATTTTTCCGATAATGGTATTTCTTATTTCTAATGCTAAAATATTTATCAACTCATTTTGTATATTATGATCAAGATAATGCATATGAATATCTCCATTTTGAATACGTCTAAGGTTCTTGCATTATTGGGTCAAACTCAGCAATCATTTCAATTAAACGAAAAAAATTTCCATTATTGTCCCGATAAATCTTCTCATTTGTACCACGAAATGCCAAATTATTTTTTGAAAGAGCTTTTACAACAACAATAATTCTTAATAATACATTCCTCCAATGCTCTTTCTCTTTATTTATTTTCTCTTGTAAATGCTTATCAATTGTTTTGTTTTTAAGCAATCTTATATGAGCATCAACCTAAATGTTCATATTAATAGCATGTTTATTACTTGTCTCATGACTTTTGAGTTTGGCACTAAGATTTTTTCAATTTTCACACCCTTCATTTGCTAATTGAATATTTGATTTCAAATTAAATAATTTACAATAATAACAAAACACTTTATCTAACTCTTTTGAATATACTAGCCATTTTTTATCATGTTTTTCTCCATTTGATAATTTGCCAATGTAATGAACTCGTAGAAAAATGTCTAGAGTTTTTATCTCTTGAAAAATCTAAAATTTCTCTAATTGGACCTTTCTCAACTAATAAATCAATCGAGTTTTGAGTCTAAATTTTTCCATTGTCTTGGATCGTAAATATTTTTTATTATTGTTGCATCTTCATAATTAATATTTTCACTTTTATTGATTGAAACATCATCTTCTAAATTTTCATCATATTCTTCATTACTTTTTGGTGAATTTGAATTGTTATCTTCAAATTTTCTTCACAATTTTTAACTATATTTTCATTTAAATCTTTATCTTATTCTTCTAGTATTTGAGGTTTAATATTAGTAACAAATCTATCAAGTATACCTTTTTGGGATTGAATTAATTCTTCTACCTTTCTTTTTTTCTTACGTTTTTCATATCCAGATTCATACTTTCTAGTAGAAATTTTATTCAAATAATAAAATTAAAATATAATTATAAAAAGAATAAGAAATTTTGACACCTGATTATATTTGCTTGTCACGCCTAATCAAGTAAACCTCGAAGAGAATCACCTAAGAAAATAAAAAAAAATCTAAAAATTATTTCTCATAAATATTTTTTTAAAATTTTTCTGTAAGTAAAAATAAAAAATTGTAGTTTTTAATTTATATTTTAATTTAGTTTTTTTTTAATTGGGCCTAGGCATAGGCTTTAACGTCCTATGCCTTGAGCCGGCAAAACTGACCCCGCCTTATGTGTAGAAGAAGAAAAGTACAAGCAAAATCACGTGTCTAATCTATGTTTTACCAAGTACGTAGAAACGGATCACAACTTGCATGTTCTGTACGTTTGACATAATCCCGTTTGGACCAGCGGGGATGGAAATTAAGGAAGGAGAGGTGAAAAATAATTGGATTTTCTCTCTTAAGCTATAATAAGTGTCAATTATTTAGTTTGATCCTCCAAGATTTAAGTTAATGGGCGTGATCCCGAAAATACATTCCTAAGTTTTCCAAGTTTTGATCAATTTATGTCTATTTTTTTCAGGGTATTAATACTATTACATTGGATTATTTAACCATACAAAATCGGAAAGAAAAAAAAGGGTCATTTTCATTCCTAGTTGACTTAGCTAATTAAATAGCCCCTCACGACAAGTTGAGAAGGAAAGACAGGATCAAAAACCAAGAATATAAAATTCGAAATTTTTGTTTACACGTTATTGAGTATTTGGCATTAGCCAAAACCACACTCATGACTCAACTTTCCGTACTGTGTACTACAATTCATGGTAGTACGTAATTGAAAAAAACAGAGTGGCTTATCAGTCACATTACAAGATGTGTTGATGAAGATAAAAAAATTGAACCTAACATTTCTTTCCTTGATTTAATAATTAAGGTTTTGTTTAATTTGCTTTTTGATTGGACCATTTGACTTTGCAGCACCAATATAGTGGGCTGGACGGTCATGATAGCTATTGGAATCAATGCAGCCATAAGGTTCGTTTGCAGATACAAGCCTGATCAATGTAATATATGCTTAATTGATTGTAGCACTTGGTATATTTCTTTCTTTTATAGGATCAAAGGGAAAAATATGAATGTATTGGAAACGTAAATGGTGGGAATTTATTTGAGTTTGAACTAGAATATCGATTATGCATGCAGCGTGAGAGTGTCAAATGAACTAGGAGCTGCCCATCCGAGAACAGCGAAGTTCTCTTTAGTAGTGGCCACACTAGCTTCGCTTTTGATAGGCCTCGTAATCGCACTCATTCTGGTCTTGGCACGAAACCAATACCCAGACTTGTTTACGAACGATGCTCAAGTTAAGGAACTAGTGAAGCAGCTCACACCTCTCCTCGCTTTCTGCGTTGTCCTCAATAATGTTCAACCTGTTCTCTCTGGTAATTAAATTATATATTCTCCTAAACGTTTGCTTTCCCCTTGGGCACTAGCTCCTCCTCATCTCCTTTCCATAAATTTAACTGTTTGTGATCTTGTTTAATTCAAACAGGGGTGGCTATTGGAGCAGGATGGCAAGCTGCAGTTGCTTATGTAAACATAGGGTGTTACTACATATTTGGAATTCCCTTGGGTCTGCTTCTTGGTTATAAGCTCCAAATGGGGGTCCAGGTTAGTCTTATTCGATCACCAGGTCTTCTCAATTTACAGAGCCACATGATCATCAAGTATGAGGCTGATGGACGACCATAATGGTTATATATATATATATATATATATAATTTGTTCTGCTCATGTTATTGGCAACTTTCAGGGAATTTGGATCGGAATGCTGATAGGAACTGTCCTACAGAGTGCCGTTCTCTTCTGGATGATTGGTAAAACCAACTGGAACACAGAGGTGACTACATTTTTATTTTTCCAATAAATATTCATGAAAAGTAGAAATTAAGGATATTATTATTTACATCGTGACCAACTGATCAATATATGCGAGGTAAATAAATACAGGCTTCTGCTGCCGAAGAGAGGATAAGAAAATGGGGTGGGGATGACGATTCCAAACAGAAAGTTTGCGAATAATAACAGAGATCCAGAAGTGGAAGGGCTCCCATTTTGATTTGTGAATTTGTGAACTGTTATCATTTATGAACAATGAAATTTCAGTGTCTGTGAGTAGTTCTCCTACAAATTAATAATTGTATCAGGCTCCCTTCTTTCGTTTAGAAACTTTAGAAGTTAGGGATTCAATTTATAGCCCATCGCTGACCGTTTTATATTTTTGGAGAAGTTATTATTATTAAAGGAACATCTCACCTAAAAGCTTAAGTTGATAGGTGAGATTCAGAATATAATTTATAATAGTCTCTAATACACCTCTTTAAGTGAAAGCCTCAACATTTGAGCTTGAAACTTGCACGAGTTCATATTGTTTTGTGCTCCATCTCATCTAAAAGCTTAAGTCGATAAGTGAAGTCTTAGAATATAATTTATCATAATCTCTAACAATTATGACATATATAAAATCATATACCAAAGATATTTAATCCATACCATCAAACCCTGGTGATCGACACTATCTCAAAATCATAATATGTCATTTTCCCACTTTAATATTGCCATTACAACTATTAAATGAAACAATATTTTGACAATTAAGCATATTACAAAATAATATGGATAAATTTTATCATTTCTTATCATTGACTCCATCCTTTATTTTGGATACTGAACTAATTCACCCTTTATTTTGAGTGCTGAACTGAATTCACTTTTTTTTTTTTTTATCTCGTTTAGTTATATTTATATATGTATAAAGTGTCTCATAATGACTTCAGGAGGTTCATGCTTTAAAAGGTTTATTGTAAACTTTATTTTCAAACTAGTTTTTAATTTTAAAAGTGTAAGATCAAATATGAAGAAATAACTTATAATAGGAGTAAAGATATATAGGTGCTTGGTTGATATTTATGAGCTATTGGATACAGCATGATTTGAATAGGAAGGATAATAAAATTAAAATAATTTTTCGGTTTGGGTTTGCTCACCTTTATCTTTTTTCAGCATCCGATTATAAACCTCAATTTTTACAAATTTTCCAAAAAATTCAGAAATGCTAAAAATTAAATATTTTTCAAAATTTAAGTCATTTTTACCAGTTTTCATGAATTTTGATTAATTTTGTGAGTTTTTTTTTAAAAAAAATCATCAAGAATTAAAAAAAAAAAAGAGAGAAAAATCAGTTCATAAAAAAATTTGAAAAAATAAATAAGTGAATAAAATGAGTTAAAAAAGCTGAGTGAAAAAAAAAAGAGTTAAAAAGAAAAAAAGAGAGAAAATGGATAAAAGATTTTTAGTCTATTCTAATCAAATTTAATTAGACCTAATTTCATTTTTGGGATAGCTTAATCCAACTTGAGGCAAAGCCACCCCTAATTGTAGAGTATAAATACTCTTAGAGAAAAAAATCAAAAGGGGCAGAGACAAAAAAAAAAAAAAAAAACCAACAAAAAATTAGAAAAAATAATAAAAAGTCAGCTTTTCTTCCAAAGAAATAGGTCGACCCATTTTCCACTCTCTCATTCACTTCTAACTATCTCCAGCCAACAGAACCGGTCACAATGCCTCCATCAAACTTCCACAACTAGTTAGAACGGAAGAAAATGCTGAAGGAGGCTGAAATTTTACACGAAAAACTCGCAACCCAATCCAAATAACTTACCCTTTTGCTTTGGTGTGTGTGTGTGTGTGTGTGTTTTTTTTTTTTTGTGATATCAAGAGCCAAAAACACCACACAATTGATTCTTAGACCTCCAGAAACCTTCCTAAGCTCGAAATCGTGAAAAAAAAAAAGAGATTAGACGAAAGTTGCTCGAAAAGTCGAACCCAACCTGCAAAAGATGAACGTGACTTAATCTCCTTTTTCTGACCAAACTAGACCATATAATAGCCAAAACGAAGCTTCAACAGGTCCTAGGAGTTGCTTTGCATTGATATCAAGCCTTGAAATCCTTTATTGTTGCCAGAATGAGATCGCAAAAGAAAGAGGAGGAAACGAAAACTTCATCATTGTCGATCTTCCTCCACACATAGCAATGATAGAGGAATCTCACACAAGAAAGAAGAGGAGGACAAGATGAAGGCATTCCCACCATCCAAGTGCTGAATGGTGGCTGGAGGAGTGAACGACAGTAGCTAGAAGACAGCTACACCAAAACTGCCTCCACTAGCAGTTTTGGTAAATTTTTATTAGCACGTGTCTCACATGACCTAGGGAGCATTTTGGCAATTTCAAATCTATGTGAGAGCTTTTTGGTAATTTCACATATGTTTAGGGTATTTAAGCTTTTTTAATGAAGCCTCAAGTGAGTTTTTCGACAATTTTAAAGTTATTTACTAGTTTTATAAGACTATCAATTAATTACAATTAATTTGAAATATGTACCATATATTATGATGTATCAAACTTGAGGAGTCTGAAACCTTCGGACATTTTGAGACAAATAAGATAGGATTCAATGTTTTATTATGGAATTAAAAGGATAGAGTTAAAATTTAAATTTAAAATTTATCCGAGGTAATTGTTGGTCCTGGTGGGAGCTTGATTGCCCAAATGTTTTGAATGTGAATGTGAGTTATGTGCTTGATTTGAATATGTGCTTGATGTGAACATGATTTGAATATATGATTGATGTGATTTGTCATGAATATACGTTGTGTCATTGGTAGCATGCTTCATCGACAATTGATTTGAATATGTACCTTGTGTTCTTGGCAACCAATTTCATCGACAATTGATTTTAGTATGTGCCTTTTGTCATCGATGACCTATTTTATCGACGATTGATTTGAATATATGCCTTGTGTCGTCGTGACTAGTTTCATCAACAATTACCATGAATATGTACCTTGTGTTGTCAACGATCTATTTTGTCAATGATTGATAAGAATATATGTTTTGCGTTGTTGGCAACTTGTTTTGTCGATAATTGATATGAATTAAGTCGTGAGTTTTTATTTCATATATTATAGGTTAATTCATGAGTTTTTATTTCATGCATCATGAGTGAAGTCGTGAGTTTTTATTTCATGCATTTTAAAAAGTTGTGAGTTTTTTTTTTACGTATTTTAGAAATGAGTTTTCATTTCACGTATAATGAGTGAAGTTGTGAGTTTTCATTTCACACGGTATAGTTTTAGTCTTGAGTTTTCGTTTCATGCATTATAAGTGAGTGAAGTCATGAGTTTTTATTTCATGTATTATAGGTTAAGTCGTGAGTTTTTACTCCATGCATTATGAGTGAAGTCAAGAGTTTTCATTTGAGCATTATAAGTAAAGTAGTGAGTTTTTATTTCACGCATTCGTATATAAATTTTGATTTCATTCTCGCGTAAAAGCCGTGAGTTTCATGTCACGTATTTAATAAAATCATGGGTTTTCATTTGATTAGGTTTACCTAATGTTCATTTTCTTTTAAGTTTTTATGATGTCCGCTAGAGTGAGTAAAAGGCCTTTGATCAGCTAAATTCCAAATTACTCGACCAACTAGTCTCTAATTTAATGGTAAATATACCAAATAGGAATAGACTCTCATCATAATATAAACTAGAATCATAGCGAGCATGTCTTAAACGGGACGAGTATGATGATTTTTGTCTTTCCTATGCATAATAACTCCTTATCTCAATCTCTATACAAACTAGTCATTTTAGGTCCAAGTAATCTTTAATACTAGATAGCGACTCTTTTTCAATCTTTTTTCTCAAATTTATTTTCAAACTCGTCGTTCCCACTCGACGTTGCGAACCCCTCGCGACACTACCCATCATTATTCTAACTTCATTTATCTCAATCATTTTCCTTTCTCTTCCCCCTCATTTTGTTTACTTTATTCTCTTAATATTTTCATGGGTACTATTTTAGTGATCTCGCTACGGTATCAATTTCCATCTTTTGTTATTTGTACATTTCAATTTTTAGGATTGCTAATTTATTTGATATTGTTTTATGATTTATTAAACAAGTAAAGGCTAATAATATATCTTATTGGAGTGATAAAAAAAAGATGAGAAAATAATAAGAAACAAAAAATTAACATCTAAGATATTTAGATTATAAAACATTAAGTTACTATGGTTATATTCATCTCATAGAAAAGTACTTATTTATCTTTTGTTTTTTTTTTTCGCTTTTAGCGATAAAGGGATGCATGCATTGGTTTTTATGCACATATTTGGATAGACTTTGAAGAAGCCAACTTTTACAATAACTATGATGACATCTAACTTACATATGGAAGTTTAATTATCATTATAATACACTAAATGTTTAATATAAATTGCACAACTTATTTTTAATATGCCCAAGTAAAAGGCATAAGGCTAAGGGTATTCACTATTTGGTGTTAATCAAAAAACCAAACCGAATCGAAATATTAATTTCGAGTTCATTTTTTTATGAAATTTTAAAATAAAAACTCGAACCAAAATTAATTTGATTTTCAAATTTGGTTCGATATTTAATTTTTGGATTCGATGAAAAATTGAAAAACCGAACTAATTTTTTTACACTATATATATTGAAAAATTAAACCCTAAATCCCTAAAGCTAAAGAAAAGAAGCCACCTTTCTACCGGAGAAAAAGAGAACAGCTTGTCCCCTCCTTCTCCCTTTTGCCCCCTCTCTTGCCTCTTGGAGTCTCACTGTGACTCTTGGAAGCTACCTCGTCCTCTCCCTTCCTCAATCCTCACGGCTCTTAGCTCTTCTCTCGGTTAGGATTCACTATCAAAACCATTTAAGAATCAAGATTTAAAGGTATAATTCAAATCTTTCTCAAGTTTATATTTGATGGGCATTCATTAGTTAAAAATTGGATTTCATT